GAGTGGTGCAGGAAGCAGGAAAGATGTTTTCACAGATTCATTTACCCCTTTCAGAATGCTTTGAATATTAACAACGTGGGCATTAAAGTTAGAGGTGACCCAAAGAAGTACTGTTTGTGACTTTTTATTTATTGGGCTAGGAGTTTATTTTATTTGTTTTGTTTTAATTTCCCACCAAACAATGCTTTAAAAAAATATTTATTAGAATAGCATTGCCTCTTATTGTCGGTATAGAACGAAACTGAGGGAAAACAACCTTTCACACTGCCGAAACCCGGGATCGAACCAGGGACCTTTAGATCTTCAGTCTAACGCTCTCCCAACTGAGCTATTTCGGCGACAACATCGCTGCAGGCAGGAGTTGTTATGGATTCAATCATGTTTTACACAGCAGAAAACGCTATATCTATTTATATACACAAAAAATAAACACATGAGTAAGTGAACTTGATAGTGAACACCATGTGGTTCAGAAGCAGCTGCACATGTGTGGGGGTATAATGTGACTCTGAGCCACAGGAGAATCCCACTCCGAGACACATTAGTTAGTAGTTAGTTTGTATTTAACATTAGTTACACGAGTTATTTTACAAACTCCAAATTTACCCAAGCGAGCTGCCACAATACCGACCACACCGGTGCCTGCTCCGAGCTCTATGAGCCGCTTTCCCCTCAGCTCCACAGACTGATCCTCCAAGTAACGGCACAGGTGTAACGCCTGCGTGTGTACACAGACACACACATAGATTTCATCACTACACAAAGCCCAGGTTTACGAAGATCATCTAAATAAAGTGAGTGCCTGTCTGCTCCTTACAGCCTCCCAGACCGGTGCAGCCACGCCGAGGTCCGCACCGAACAGCTGTCTGATCTTCACCTCCTCTCCCATCAGCGTGTACACGGACTCCAGAGAAAACGTTTCCGTGAACAGACAGTCATCTACAGGAAACGGGTCGTCTTCGTCCTCGGTGTGAGACATGTTTATTGGCGCTAAAGTCTATTATTGTTGGTAAGAAAACCGGATGTTCTCGATGCGGGAGGGCAGCTGCTTTTAACTTCCGGTCAAGTAATAACGTTATAGCGAATGTTTTGTTTTTGTCATAGACACCATAAAAATGTTGTTAAAATGTTTTAGTATTAATGTTAAATATTTTAAAATAAAATATTTATTTTATTTACTTCTTCTCATTTTTTATTTATCGCAACAGAAAAATAAAAAAAATAAAACCCGTAACTTCACAAAAAAAAACACAAGAAAACTAAAGTGTTTTTTTCATGTTGTATCAAGCTAGTAGTAATATAGATGTAAGACTACGAGAGGCTTTTACTTTGAAATGTAACACGCATATGCCAAAAGCGGTGCACATCAGAGATTGCGGTCTGAAATGCAGCGGGTATAAAACAATCTTAAATATATTCAAATTATACATTATTTTTGCTTTTAAATAGTGAATTAATACTTATTATTTTATCAGATATTTCATTATTTTCATTTTTATACTTCTACATGTCAGCTTGTTGATATTGTTAAAGGAAAATAAATGTTGTTGACATTATCATGACTGGATAATACACTACAGGATTGTTTCTTTGTTTGTTAGTTTGTTTCCTTCTCATCACGAAAAATCCTTTGGTCACTGTCTCTAGTAAAGCTATGGCTGCATCCAGCAGTTATTTATATCATCAATTAATTCTTCTTTCTTTTTTTTTCTCTTTTTAAGGCTCAGCACAGCAGATCATCTGCCTCGATCTGACCCTATCCCTGCCATCCTTCTCTGTCACACCAACCCTCTGCATATCCTTCTTTGCCACATCCACAAATAGTGAATATTCTCTGTGGACTGTGTAGAATAAGGAGGGGATGTTTTTTCTCATTTTCATTCATTATTTTAATATGGCATTATTAGTTCATTAGAAGTATATAACCAGCTTTGCATTAAACATAAATTGAAGTTTTTGACCTTACATTATTCTTTGCATTACAGTGATGGTGATAATTTTAGTTTGATCTTTTTCCTTGCAGGTACCAGAATAATAACATGATTTTCCATTGCAGATGTAACCATGATCATTCCATACACATTGCAGTTTGTTGCTTATTCTAGAGTTGTGCTCAAGGTAATTAAAGGTTAAAAGCTACAGCCAGCGCGAGTCTGGCTGATCTATGGAGGGCAAAGGCTTTGAGCTTGGAAGGCCGCACGCGCTTACACAGCACTTATAAGATGTTATTCTTGGTGATTTTGTGCTTAGTCATGTTTTAATATGTTTTAAGTAGAAGTAGCTGATCCAGCAATATTCATTTAATATTATATACTTGATTTAGAGCAATACACACTGATGGTCTTAACAAATGAAAGAGTCCTTGTAGCTGCCATGTTGTGTCTTAGCAGGGTACAGACGGTTCCAGGAGACGAGGGCAGTCAGCGTCTGCCCTCGGGAAGGAGACAATGTTATTCTTTGTGTTAAATAAAATTGTCAACATTGATTGTATTACACCTGTCACTACGCATGAAGGGGCGTTCTAATACCCTGATTTCATAAAACTATGATGATGTGTTTTTTGAGATGAGATCTGAGACTGTCTGCATACAGTGTCCATCTCCCACGTGTGTGATCATTAAATCATCGTTTGACTCAACCCGACCGGACCAGTGTTGTTATTGTGGGTTTTTCCTCTGGTGTCCATCCCCAATATTTTGAACCTTAACAACTGTCATATCCACTGTATGAAAATCTTAACATCTTATTATATTTTGTTTTATTCAGCCACTATTCCGCATACGTTTATCCAAAACATTTTCTTTCCAAGTATCCAGGATATCAGTACTTTTCTCCCCTTACACTGTGCCACGGACATTAAATTAAATACCAGCAAAAACCAGTGTTACCCCCCCCAAACAGAACTAGGACATCAGTTTCAAAATCCTGTGTGATATCTCAAGTTATTGCAGTCACATCTCCAGAAAGCTTGACCCCTGAACTCGAGATCTGAGCGGTTGGTTGAAGTTTTTAACAGAGTTTAGATGTTTTTCAGTCCTGAACATTACATGTGGCTCAAGAATGCAGTTAAAAAAATAATTTGAATATCACAAAATTTCAACCCATTCATGTGTACACTCCAGGAATTTAATAACATCCCACTAAACTGGCTTGTAAATAGAGTGGTGTAGTTTTACTTGTATGCAAATTACCACTGATATATTGCATCTCATCACCTTTTATTGAATATCAAAACCAACAAAAATGTCAACAAGCATAAGCACCATACACTGGTGAAGCGATAAAACTGCAGGGTAGTGTCCCCCCGATCTTCACTGATTATGGAAGTAAGTGTCTTCCTCATGGACAAGCACAAGCTCTGAAAATCATCCTGTGGGACCTCAGCCCACTTATCAGTCAGTGCCACCCGGAGATGCTCCTGAGTCTGTGGAGGAGGATTGCGATGTCTGTCTGTCATGCCATGCTTTCCATGGCGTTTATATCAGGGACTTATTGCCCTGCAACTTATCCATGACACTATACCAGTCAGGTTGTCATGGCATTCTTACAGAAGTCATTTTCTCCAAAGCTGCGGTGCCTTTTTCCAAGGTTGGTTGTGTTTGATAGAGGAGTGTTAATTTTGGTTTCTCCCCCAAATTGTGTTTTGAGAGACAAGACTACTCACAGTAATGAGTCGGGGATGACCAAATCCCACATGTTGGGAATTATCCCCAAGCAAACCCTACATGCACATGGGAAAAGCTCTTCCAAAATCAAACTGAAAATAGAGCAGTGCATTATTAAATCCCTTGAGTGGGATTTTGGGCACCTGCAACTCTGGAATTTTAGTGTGAGGTCAAAATTTTCATGGCTTCATTAAATGCGCTAAAGTTTTAAAAAGAAAAAAAAATCGTGTTAGGTAGGTGATTTTTCATGGAACAGATGTTTAAATTAATAGTTGTTAGTGTTTAATGTGACCTTTGTTTGCAGTTAGTACCATTTGTGCAAGACGTGAACACACAGATACGCACCGACTCATGTTCCAGGTTTATTTTTTTTAAAAATTAAGCTGCTGTCTCCTCACCCGTTTGGTTTCCAAAATCAATACTTAAGTAAAGTACCACTTGGACTTCTTCTTTTTTACATACAATTTCACATCAATGACAAAGATGATTTTACATGTAAAGTGTAGAGTTGAGTACATATATTTAAAAAAAGCGCTCCATTGTTTCAGCTCATCAGACAGCCAAATGAAATGTAATGTGTAAATCTGAACAAAGAAGAAAGGGGGAGAAAAAAAAAATCACAATGCGGTCTTCAAATGTCTCTTCATTGTGTTGTACTACATCCGTTTCCTCAGGGGAGTGATTATTAACTGTTGTGCTCAGACTACACATACACTCTATTCAATTTACAGCAAACCTGACAGAAAACAAAAAAAATCTCTGGGTTATATGAAGTTACTTGAAAATAAATAATTTGCTTATCATACAAATGACAGTAGTATTACATCCAGGACACCCCGACCTGTTCCTACCCCTCAGGGCTCAATATGTGCAAACTGCAAGGGTTTCTTAAAAAAAGGTAGCACTTTATGCAAAGACCATGGAGAACAAAAACGAGTGTTTTTAACATGAGCACTTCATTAGAGCGCAGCAAGTGTTCAACAGGTATGAAGTTAAAATGAAGTGGAGGAGATGTATGGCTGCATAAACCCTCCTCAGGCCAACCGTGTGGTAACAAGGACCTTAGTATTATTTTTCTAAAGTGAGGAATAAACTGATAAAAAACAGATGGTCCTTTGGTACTGAATGGCTGTTCTGATCTTAAATGGTACTGCCCTCATTTAAAAAAAAAGAAAAAAGTTCTCAAGTCTTTCACAGTAAAATACTGAGCTGGGATGTAAATATAATGCTAAGATGAAAATGTCCGGTTGAACAAACCTCTGTCAAAGTCACTTAGGAAAAATAGACACTGTTGATTGTTTTGTTTTTTTCATTCAAATCCGTCAAAAATAACAGAAAAAAACAAAACAAAAAAATCTAACTCGCCCATTAAAAAAAACCCCATCTCCACTAACCCACAGTGTCCCCACAAAGATTTCTTCTTAGCATTTCCCGGTTGGTGTGAAAGACGGTAGAATCAAGTCCAAGTCCACACAGTTGCACAACAAACACCCAGGCAGAAAACAAAAACGGAGGAATGAGTGATTAGAACTTTGTTCCAAAAAGAATAATAATTAGAACAATGACTATGATGAAAAGGATCAAAATGACCAGCATCTTTCGGTTTTTCTTCTGATACTGTTCTGCCTGAAAAGAAAATAAGAATAATTTTACATAACACCATTCACTTTTAATGAATAAGTACAAATGGGGTCTTTTTACACCACAGGACAGAAAAAACATCTGGTCAACAGGCTCTAAAATTTCCTGAAACATTACATAACAAAACATCCAACAGCTTGTAGAACGACCTTTAGCAGCAACTTGGAAGTAATCGTTTTCTGTATGACTCTATCAGTGTCTCACATAGATGTGGATCAATTTTGCTTCACTTTTCTTTGCAACGTTGTTTCAGTTCTTTGAGATTAGCAAGCCTGTCTCTGCACAGCTCTCTTTCAGTCAGGCTGAGGTCTGGACTGTGATTGTGTCATTGCAATACCTTGATTAGAATCGCTGTCCTGTTGTATAACCCAGTATAGGGCTGTTCGATATAACAATATGTAGCGGATAACGACATTTTCATTTTACGCTATCGTTTGTTTCATGGTGTCGCAAAATAAACGTTTACGGCAATATTTTTTCATCGTTTTGATGGTCACTGTAGTGGCTATATTAATTTCTTAAAGTTCTCTCTTTCTCTTATATTTAATATAACCACACTACGGACGGACAAGCGCCTGTTTTTATGCGTTGTCGTTAGCAACAACGACGGTAAAACCATTGCGTGTCCGCTGGTTTAGTTTCCACATAAACCTTTCACAATAAAGCTCAAGATCCTGTTGAGACTTTTCAAAAGAAACTGAATCACGTGAAAGAGTATGCAGAGTATTTATGGATGAGAAGCAAAAAAGAGCCGTCAGGTGCTAAAAAATAAACCTAGGACTCAAACGTTAGAACTGTTTTTTTCTCGCAGCACGCCGTGTAATAAATACTCACAAAGAAAACGGCGGCCGTTACAACTTATGTCTAAAAATATATAGTTTCATGCATCGGTTCAAACACTCAACTCCAGGTTGGACGATAGATGTCTTATATCGGGATATGAGATTTTGGTCTCATCGCACAGCCCTAACCCAGTATTAACCATACTTTAGCTGTTGGACAGATGACCTCACATTTGAGTCTAGAATACTTTGGCATACAGAAGAGTTCATGGTCAATTTAGTGCTTGCAAGGTGCCCAAATCCAGGACCTCTTCTCCATCGTGCTGACAGCTGGTATGAAGTGTTTGTGCCGATATGCTGTGTTTGTTTTTTGCCATTATGGTCAAACATCTCCACCTTAGTCTGTCCAAAAGAACACTGACCCTCATTTGCTAACACTGTGTATATCACACGCATGAATGTTTCAGGCACAAAACAATAGATTCATTTTTTTGTACTTTATAAATACATTTAGAAGTGCCTCTGAGCATGTGTATGAACAAATCACAGCTTGGCTTTCATAAGAAATTTAAACAAGTCTTTAAAATAATTTCTACTACTAATACCGCTACAAATAATTATAATACCTATTATTTCACTTTGGTCATTATTTACAGTTTTCATTCCATAAGCCAAAAAGTGTTTAGAATTACTTAAAAAAATGAAATTGCCTGAAAAAAAACAAACAAGACACTAAATAAAGAAATTTAGTGTTTACCTTTTGTAACTGTTTCAATCCGTCTTCTGTTTTAACACAAGCCTGCTCCACATTGAAGTCGATTCTATCAAGAACGGTGCCCTGGAAGGACAAAAAGAGTGTTTTTTTGGTTTAAGGGAAGAAACTCATTATAATTGTAGATCGTGTTTGCAGTTTTGTAGCAAAACTCCTCACAAGTCTATGTATACTCTTCCTTAAAGATCAGTTCAAAGTGTTTTTTAAAAATAACATCTTAAGTTATTTTGTTCAAATACTATTTATACAAACAAAAGTAATCTGAAAGCTCCTGCCGAATAGGATCAGAATGAGCTTAACTTAGCTCCTTTTTGTTATTAATGATTTATAAAACTGATCTTTTTTCCATTTTCACATGTGGCTGAAGCCTGTGTGTGCACGTTTTTCCTGTGGTAGCTCAGTGAATTTGCTTCAAATACCTGCTCCACCACCATTCCTGCCAAGTCCCGGAAAATCTCATTCAGATCTGAGATAGACTGCACTATCTGTCGGATCTCCCGCTCTCGTTCTTCAACCATGACTGTGTTCTGCTCCACCAGCATCAACTGATCGTCCGTGAACCCCTGAAAAATGACAGATTCAAGAACAAGGCTGAATATACAAATGTTATAGACTAGATGGACAGCGGCAGGGTAATGAGCTGTTTTTGTTTTATTCAGACCAATTTCCATTTCAATAACACAGAAGATTTTACAGTAGTGTGGTGTAGCCAATGTGTTGCATGGCCAACACACAGAGGCCGACAACCATTCCCACTCACATTCACACCTACAGTCAGCTTAGAGTCTCCAATATAACCAACAACATGCGCATCTTTTATAGAGACTCCACACAGAAATGGATGACTTTAAACCCAGGACCACCCATTTTATAAACAAAGCATTTATTTAATTCCTCCACTGAGGCCATTTCCTGTCCGTTAAGAAGCACCTAAACTCAATGTAACTATTTTTAGTACAAATTGGGAGTTAAATGTGTAAACATTGGTAGATGTACTGATTATTTTTTTGTTTTTTTTAATCTTAATGGTACTGATAGTCATGGATACTTCTGCTTTTGGTTCACTGTATACACAGAGCAGCTGTGTACACAGTGTCAGCATACATGCATTGTGTTCAGAGATGTAGGCCAACAACCACTGGATTTATCTCAATTACTGTGTTTTGTTTTAAAATATCCTAAAACTCTGAACTGGTGACTTTATCTGAGCCAGAATCAATTTTAGAGCCTTCTTATTGACAAACGCATCAGGCATCCTGCCAGGAAACACCAAAGAAAATAAGGAACAGATAACCCAAAAAATAAAAAAACAACTCAGTCTGGTTTGCTGGACTGAGACGTGCTGATGGGTTTCTTTGATTTACTGCTTATAATGAAGAAACACTGTTAAAAAAGCTGGTATTTTTCTTAAACTGCTCATCATCTGGAAAAGGCGTTTGCTTTGTTTGTTATGATTATTTTGCACCCGTTTTACCGGTGTGTTCCATTTAAGCTTAAGAGCAGCTCTCTGTGGACACCCCAGCTCTAAACATGCTGTCCTCACCTTGTCATATAGAGCTAAATCTTCATCCTCTTCCATTAAGGGCCCCGAGTCAAAAAAGTGCTTTGATCTCTCCTCTCGATTCTTCATACCTGTCAGAGAAGCCAATGGCACAATGCTTAGACGGCATTAAAACATCATGAGGACAAAAATACTTAATAACAGTTAAAAAACCCAAACATGTAACATGCCATGCAGTCCTTACGTTTTAGATAGCTGGACTGTGTGTGCCTAAAATTGGTTGACAGCTCCTGCAGGCTCTGTGCCAGAGAGGAGACCACGTTTCTCAAGAGTCGCTCCTCCTGCTCTGTGCAGTGACCACAGCGAGACTGCAAACCAGTCACGGCTCGCTGGCATCGATGGAACATCTGCAAAAACAACAACGACTCTACTTGTTTCATTTCTAAATTCACTTCAGGCTCCATACTAGAGCGTGCTCTCACATAAATACTTATGTTCAAATAAAAACAACAGCTAAAACACAGCAGATTTTCAGCTGAAAGAAAAGAATCAGCATTTCACGTCTAAAAATAGGCAGCATACATATGCACAGTGCTGCTAAATTATCTCACCTGCGTGATCTCCTGAGTTGTGATTTCTATGGCGTGCTCTTCTTCGCTGCTGTCATCCAGTGTGGGACGATTCATGTGCTTGTCATGAAGCAAGGCCAGTTCCTTCATCTTCTGCTGGATCCTTGTGATTTCATACTGGATCTGAAGACAAAATGTATTAATTTATTTGCTGAATTTCACTTTAAAGAGACACTGAAGTAGCTGAAAATTTCTACTACAGTTTCAGTTTACCTCATCTACTCCATCTACCCATTTGGGGGGTAATTTCTTGGTGACCCCAATCGCGGCTTCGGGATCCAAACTAATCCCTGAAACCAGGGCCATCCGATCATCGGCCAACTTAAAGACACAAGAGGATCCATTAAAAGGTTTTACGTGATAGAGGGTGAAGATGACGGTGTTCCGTCTTTTAGTAAGAGAAATGACAGTACCTCATCAAGCTCCTAATATGATTGGCAGATATCAGAGCGGTCCCATCCAACCGAAAACAAGCAAAAGGAGAAAAAAAAGGGGAAAAAAAGGAATAGAAAGTGAGGCCCATGAAATATAAATATCCATCCACTCCCACTGTTAAATTACTTTGAATTAGGAATAATAATCACTGTAAAAGAGGCTGTTGACATTCATTGTACATTCAGTGTACAGTTAAACTAAATATAGAAAAATATCATCCAGAAACCTTTTTCCAAATCATTTTACTTTAAATCAAATGATTACAAGGAGGAAACGGTGTGAGAACAGAGAGAGCAGAAACCTGTGAGTCTAAGAAAAGGAAAATGAGTTTAAGAGTTTTAGATTAAATAGAGTTCATTGTTAGTTGCTTTGTCTTCTTCAGTGATTGATTTGTCAGTAAAAAAGCGAGAGGCGACTTGGTCTGCTGCCTTCTTATTTCAAACCTGAGTGTTCAGCCAGCAGCAAAATGTTCTTTGTTTCTAACAGCTAACGCAATTTTAGACGCAGCTCTAAGCAACTTAATGGTCCTGCTGCAACAAAGCAACTAAAAACCACCTGAGCCAAATATTCTAACAGCTTCAACGTGACGGCTTGATAACGGCCGACTGGTCTAATCAGTTTAGCCCCTCATAATTTTAATGACCAAGCCTGTGAGACATTTAAATCAACTGTGTTTATCCCCTATATCAATGAAGCGTAAACACGATGCCAGTGTCAAACAGACGTTTGTTACAGTACAAGAAGGAGACTGAACCTGCACTTCACACTTCTGCCTGTATTTTATAGCCATTTCAGACATAAGATAAAGTGGTTGGAGCAGTTTCATTGAAGAAGAGACTAAACAATTTGAACAGATATTGAGAAGATGCTCATTCGGGCACAAGAGATCGTCTGTAAATCCAGAATTTCGATTCTGTTCCAAGATTTCACTCATTTCTTTACTGTTCTTCACTGGCAGCTAATATCCTGCTAGGTAAAACACTCATTACAACATTTTCACTGTGAATAGTTAACAGGGAACTAAATCTATCTGAGAAGAGATGATGGACACAGAGATAAAGTTAAAAAAAAAAGGTGTGCAGGCATGCAGAGGAGGTAGGGTTGGGATGGGAACCGTTCCAGTTGAGAACCACTATCAAATTTTCTATTCCCCTGGAATCTTGTGCCTCAGAGCTTAACAATGCCTTTCATTAATGCTGACATGTTTTTCTGACAGCTGACAGCAAAGTCATTGGGCTGGAGGGTTTCCATTAGTCTGTTTCTACACTGTGTTTGGACTCAAGAGATTTTTCAAGCAGAAAATTAATAAGGAATGAATATATAATAAGAATCAATGATGGAATTGGTATCAAAATTTTTTTATCAGTGTATGACCCAACACATGTGGGGAGTGTAACTATTCAAAGCCAAATTTCTGGGCTCTTTTACACCAGCTGTTCTGTAGATGAAACAAAATGCCAAGAACCGACTGAGTAATCTTTTTTTTTTTTGTTTTGGTTCTTGGAAGGAAAAATAACAGACAGTGTATGACTAGCTCATGTGCCCTATTAGGCATGAATCACCCTCCCAAAAAATGAAGCCACAGCAATGCTTCTATCTTCCTCACTCTGAGCTTGCTCGCTGTTGATCCTGATCTAAACCCAAACAGGACACTCTTACAGAGAGGTAGTGTTGTTCCAGGAGCCACAGCCATTTAAAGGGCTCCACTCTGTAGATGTGCCTGAAGAAATCACTTGTGTTACTGAGGATACGTCCACACGTACACGGGTATTTTTGAAAACGGAGATTTTCCGTTTTCGTTTTCAAAAATAATCCCATCCACACATAAACGCAGAAATGAAGAAAAACGCTGCTATGAACATGCCAAAGCAACAGGTGGCGATATATTCCAAATGTTGGCCAATCAGAAGTCTAGAAGCCTCGGCGGGAAATAGTAAACAAAGATGGGGCATAGAAGCAGAACCCAGTCGTATGTGTGGAGGGACAGTAGCTGTGTGTATATGTAAGCATTTAAACACTGCAGAGAGTACAAGTAACAGTGTTGTAGAAATTCATTTCACCGAAACAATAACGTGGCGCACAGTGTGACGTCAAAAAAGGAGCACACCTTTGACCCTGCGTTTTCTCCGCTGTTTCTGTCCACACATAAATGCAAAAACTGAGTTTTCGAAAATATCCACCCTGGCAGGCGTTTTTTAGAAATCTCCATTTTCAGTGACCGAAAACGCCGTTTACGTGTGGACGAAAGGCGCAAACGCATAGAAAAATCTGCGTTTTCAAAACTACCCGGGTACGTGTGGAGAGATCGGCATTTCCACTTCGCTCAGCGCCATGAGGAGTGGCAGCTAAGTAACAAAGGCCGGTTTTGTTACTAAGAATTTTCCCCAAACAAATGCAGAATGTGTTAACCTTAAAAGTTCATGATCTCTGGGCTTCCAGCGGGAAGAAACTAGTCTACACCAGCGTGCAGGTAGCACGATAAAATGTTCACAGCAGAGTGTGAATATTCACGTGTGGCATACACCTGCCCGCTTGAAGAAGCTTCAAAACTGTGTCAGGGAAAGTAATAACTTTTGTACTGTGGTGGAGTTTAACCTAAAAATATAAGTAGGTCATGGCAGGATTTTAATTTCTTTCTTTTTGTTTTTTTCTGCATCAACATTAAATTCAGTGTTTTATCACTGCTAGTAAAAACAAAACAAAACATGCCAGCATTTAATGTTTTAGCTCTCCAGCAATAAGCTCCATGCAGCGACTGCTGTTTTTAGAAAAAAGAAACTAAATCATTATTCAGTGTCACGGAAATCACTATCAGAAAGAACAGCTCTGCTATAGAGGAACATATAAATATATTCTTCTTGTATCGTGATCACTAAAAAGCTCGCTTGTTTTTCATTATATCTGCATTATATAGACAAAAGTATCTGGCCACATTTCTTAATCATTGCTTTTATGTGCTTTGGTCCTGAACTCTTACTCTTAGGGAAATCTGAATGCCCCAGCTTATCAGTAATTGGAAAAATCCAAGTTGGAAGCTTGGAATTGTGCAGCGTGGTAAAGTTCATTTTCTGTTTCAGTATGATTGTGCTCTAGTGCACAAAGCATGGTTGGATGAGTTTGGTGAGAAAGAACCTCACTCGTCCACCAACACAGAGCACACTGAACTAGAAGAGAGACTGCAAGCAACCAACATCAGCCTCGGACGGCACAAGTGGCCTTCTGTTTAAATGGGCAAAAAAAAAAAAAAAATCCACGTGTTGAAATGGAAAAGTGTGGCGAACAATTTAGAATGGGGTGTTATAACAGCTACGGTGACATGCGGGTGGCCCAGTTCTTCTGTCCATATAATTTAACAATTAAAGGATAGGTAGTATTTCTTAGTGACAAACAGTTTCCAGGAAGCTTTACGAGCATTTTCATTGCCTTTGCTTTTCAAATTACTGTATTTATTTTTAATAACTGCAGAAGAGAATCAGCTACACTCTAGATCAGTTACAGGTCACGACTCAGTATGATGCGGGCTTTTGAAAGGCCACAGCAGGGTTTTTTTTGTTTTTGTTTTTTTACAGTGAGGCACACGAGAGGATGCGAAGAAAATGAAATCAACCATAACCCTCAGTTAACCTTGACCTAAATATATATAAAAAATATATATTCTTGTCATTAAAAAACGGGCGGTTATAGACATTAACTAGCTAAAAGCATGCCTGCAACACTTCTTCATCCTCCATCATCACCCCACTGAGTCACATCACTGTGAACCACTGAAACACTAACGTCGTGGAGGTCATCCAGGATAATAACTAACAGCTATCACACACCTGGATCTAGCTAACAGGGATCGGTGACTGGCTATACGCAAATACACACAGTAAAATGTCAAAACGATGCAGACCACTCACCGCAGCATTGCTACGTGTACTCAGACGGGGGTCGTATGTACTCACTTGCTCAGCCAATATCTGCCGGTTTTGGATTGCATTGTTCCGCATTAACAAGAAGGCATCTGTCAGACGCCTAGTGGCCATGACTGCCTTGCGTGATAATCTAAATTAACAAGGGGGCAGAGTGCGGATCGAAAGATCCTTTATTAAATTGAGCCAACTGCCTCTGACCAGCTGCTAACACGGCGCTAGCTTTAGCTTTGCTTTGCCTGCGATGAATGGTGAGAAAAACTCGCGATGCAGCGCCTACAGCGGGAGACACATGGCCTGAATCATGTTGATCCGCTAAGCCGCTCTAATACTGAGGTAAAGAAAACTAAACATGACCGAGATTTTCTGGTGAAATATCCGCTTCAGCGTCAGACTGGTAACGTTACTCCGCTTTAGGTAGCTACGGAAGTAGGAGAACGTAAACATCTGCGTGAAGCAATTCTTCTTCTGCTCATTAACTGCGCTATCATCTGTAACGGAAGTGACTCTTCGCCACCTACCGCTTCAGCTGAGAACATCAGACAGAAGCGTTTCCAGGGTGGTACCAGAAGGGCCAAAACCTGTTAGGGAAATTGGAAATAAAAACCAAACAAAAGCGCTTGAAAACTGGTTGTAAATTCAGTGAGTTTACATTAGAATACATAACAGCCTAGTTGTAACATAGCGGCCTCCTTGAAACACAAGGTTTAACAGTGTTATACCGGGCTCATTGAAGACATAACAAAGAAGAGACAAACAAATTAGAAATTTTTACCAAGCCAATTTATTAATCATAGCCTGAGAGAAGATGAATCTAAGAAAGCTAGGTGCTAACCTATAGACTTAAAATAGGAAAAACTATGACACAATGAAAAGAACACCAAGTTAGCTGCCTGAAAGGCACCAGCCTTCCGGGGCGAGGAGAGCCTTCTTGGAAGGAAAACAGCTTATATATGCCATGTTCCAGGCACCTTGGAACTTGAATGTCAGGAATTAATGTCACTCTCAAGTTAGCAGTTTTCAGAAATAGTAAGGAAAAACAGGATTTGTTTTGGTGTTAGCAAGGTAGAGTCATTCAGGTATCAGCAGCATTATACTGCAGCATATACTTGGATAGAGCCAGGACAATGCTCGACATATGACAAATACACAATACTGGCAGTACAGATTAAACGTTTTACAGTTTTACAACTATTTACTTTCATCTTTCATCTTGGATTGTTAAATTAGGCTTTCTAAGGCTGCTCTGACTTTCCAAGTAGGAAATCCAAGTTGTTGGTGTTCAAGCTTTCAAAAATCTAGAAACGTTTTATTTTCTATCCAGAATATAAGCAACATAGAAAATGGGGTGCTACACCTCCTTATCCAGCTTTCAAAAACAAGAATTGGATGCACAAATTTAAATTTAGTTTGGCTTTTCCCTTATCCACACGTTAGGCAATTTTTTAGGCAGTTTCTAAATGTCTCTAGTAACGTCTTTTCCCCCACATACTCATTTCAAATTGAGCTTTTTTTTTAGACTGAAAAGGAGAAATACTGGAAATGTGCTTATGTGGAGATTTACATATGTTTATACAGAATAGAGTGTTCTGCATCACGATGCTACCAAGGAATAGATTTTCCTCAGTTTGCAAACCTGAAAAGAACCACGCAACTTTATTTTGTTGGCTTCATGAGGGTACCTGTTTAATTCATCCTGAGGTACCATGAGTGTCTGTACCAACCTTTGAGTCAATCAGAGCAGGACTGATATTTCAGAATGGCTGATAATTGTCAAGTACTCCTTTACAGAGCACATTGTGAAAAACGCTTGAGATTTCTTTATAAATTGTGTAATAACTTGTGTAATTTGTTTCCCCTGTCTTACTGTTTACAATAATTTCAGCAGTATCTGCAGTACATGTAGCAGAATAGCATCAACCAATCACATGGTGGTGGAGAGGCATCTTCACTAAATAACTAGCACTGTGAAATTCATTGCTAGAACGTAAAAACAATGCCTCTGTCATCTTTTCAGTATAACTTTAACAAACTGTATAAATATAATAAATATAAATATATAAACTTATATACTCACCCATTCACTGCACTACTGCTCTTTTAAGCAAATATGTAATCATGCATTCACATGGCAACAACTCAATACACTTAGGTATCCAGACATGGTATGGTCAAAATTTGGTGTAAATAATCTGAAAGCATGGATCCAGCCTTCCTTGTATTATGTATAAGGATTTTATTATTCTCTAAATATTGGCATTGACTCAAAAACCCACTGGTAACACCAACGAAAAAAGAACACAATTGAAGCCAAGGACATTTAACAGTTAAACAGCTGTCCCCCTCAATAAAAAGATCTCTCGACCCCACCAACGTCTGTCTGTGGCATAATGTCTACATGTGAGAGTCAACAGTCACGTTTTGCACCAGAAGTCCCGACTTACGATAAAAAGTCATGTTTTGCACCAGAAGTCATAATTTACGACAAAAAGTCAAAAGAACATTCAGGGTGGAAAACCAGTGTGAAGAGTCCACGCACAAGTGGGACTAAACTAAAAAACGACACGTGAAAGCCGCTTCACCGGTTCGTACTCTGAGTTTTCATTCATTCGCACCTGCTCATGCATTCCGCTACATTCCAGCTTCCAGGCTGAGAGCCGCAGTGTTTAGATAATTGTGTTGACCTGTTGTAAGGGCACAATAGCGCTAACGAGTGTGCGCGCGTGCGCCTTTCTGTGCGTGCACGCGCTAGGCGGTGCCACTATCTGTAATTATGTCGCTAAAAGCTCCTCCTCCGCCCATTCTTAATCCCTTATCCGCTAATACCGCAGTAGACATTCACCCACAACCACCAGCTGCCATCAAACAGCATAGCAGCGGTGTGTGCTGCTGGAGAAGCTACGAGAGACTTTATTCGCTTCTATTTCCCCCCATCCTCCGTCCCAGGAGAGAGAGTCAAGGTAAGAAGCCTGTTAGAGTTCACGAGCCCTCCTCCTTCTGTCCGAGCACCTGTGCAGCACTTCGAGAGCCGAACAAGTTAAAATATTATGTAAATGTGTGCCTTTGTGTGTGGTGTGTGTGTGTGTGTGTGTGTGTCAGCCAGGCTGACATCCTGGCTTCACATTATAATCCTGTTTGACGGATGCCCCCTTTTAAAAGGGGTCTTAATTGCTGCTTTGCTCATTAAACTGATGGGAAGTTAAAAAGTGGTTTTAGCCGGACAGGTACACCTGCACAACCAGAAAATCTACAGGCCAGTGTTACATCTACTCCTCCGCTTCTCTGCTGCTGGCAGTTGATCGTCAGTAGTCACAATCTGGAGCTCTTGATGTTATTACTTGTTACTCCTCAGCTCCATGTTTACAGGATGATACAATCTGATTTTCACTACTCTTTCCTTAAAATCAGCAGTGGTCAGTGAAGCAATGTTGTTTTAATAGCAAGTTTTTAGATTGGCATCCGTTAAGAAAGGTATGCTCTGTTCATTAGTGGCAGTCCCAGGAATGGAGGCAAACCAGTTCTGCTGACACAAAACACAAAACATGACGTAAAACATGTTACATGTATGGCTGCCTCCTAGTTTCTGCAGTCTCCCTGGCCAGGTTAGTGCTTTATCTGGGTGTCCAGTCACTGTTCCCTCATTCTTCAGGGAGCAGACCAGGATGGCCTCCTCTGATGATACAGAAGGGTCTCTGACTCCTGTGGATTTTATCCAGCTGCAGCACTACATGGAAGGTAAGTTTCCATTTTCTACATTGTTTTTTAACCTGTAAGTAAAGTAAACTGGAACAATAATTGTAATAATAATAAAGTTGACGCGTTTATTACAGATTAAAAATGTATATACAAATCCCTTTACACCAAGCACTCGATGCACACAAGATACACTGTTGTGTTTGTATCAAAGGCATAAAACTAAAGCAATAAGTGATTACTGAGGCCAAAGACGACAGCGTCCAGGACAGAATATAAAAACAATGCGTACATTCAAACTGTAATTAGAGCCATGTAAGTCTCAAGTGCATTCTCACTAACAAAATGCAGTGTAACTCAATACTCTGGCAAATTTCTCTGTTAAATTAATAAAGCAGCGGTAGCTCAATATGCCATTTATTTCACAGTGTCAGTTTATGACTGTAAATGTGTTTTTTAAAAACTCCATCCATGTACACTGAATTCAGGCTTTCACCTTTCTGAGGATGAACTGGCCAGATGTGTTATGATAGCTCCGCTCTCGATCTGTGTAACTGTCTTCCATCTAATCTAACACTAACACTAACACTCTTCTTGGCTGCACAGACACTGGAAACCACATCACACATTTACAAAAAAGTGTAATTTTTACTTTACTTTACACTTTTGTTTCACTCCTTTTTAATGAATTAAACATCTGAGCACTGGATAATGTCAGAATAAATATCGGAAGTCTTCAGAACGATTTATGAAGGCAGTGGAAAAAAAAGCAAGATAAGTGGAGACGGGAGTGTCGCAGGCAAAGTCCAACAAAAATATGAAAAGTTAACTTTGTAGATCCTAACCTGCAACACATGTGCACTCTGCTCCTGCATGTAGGCGGAAACATTTCAGTTAAAAGTGCAGTCGGTATCACTGCCTTACTTTAATGCTACTCATTCAGCAGCCACCCAAAATCACAAGCGGCAACTCCAAAACATAAGTGCATGCTGCCCCTTCGCTGGGGCTGGGGCGAACGCAGAATTACATGCACGTGTTGACAAAAAAGTGTGTGCTAAAGGGCTGAAAATAATCCACTGTCCACTCAAAGGCTTTAGAAGAAATGAAATGGGTCTGTAGGCTTTTAGTGTTTGCACGCTGGATAATGGATGAATGGATAATTACACTTGCTCCTCTCCAGACCTGGGAAAGGTAGTGTGTGCATTACCTCACACTGCAAGGCCCAAACCCAGATTTAATGACTGACAGTCACAGTGTATCCACATCTACAGCTACGTTTTGACCTCTCTGATCTTCTCCCTGCAGAGAGCAATTTGAGGGTGAAAGATGTGATTAAGGAGTTTCATCCAGGCGGTCGATTCTCTCAGCACAGCTTTGGAGAGGTAACTTTTTTAGGCAATCATATACTATATTTCCCGTGTCAAATGTTCCTAATACTCTACTTATTACAAACAAATCAAACATGAATTTATTAATTTGTATTATTAGTTGTAAAAGTTTGCTTTACCTCTATTTTTAACAATGTGCTTGATTAAAAACGCACACGGTCTTTTTAGGAAGCTTTCTACCACTTTTTTATGACATTTTCTAAAAATCGTAGTCAGACTGTTGCTCTGTTTTATCCTTTTGTCTCATTTGGAAATAACTTCAACTTCTCTCTTTAGTGCGTCGATGCCGAGGGCTTCTGTCTCTTTCTCAAGACCTACTTAGAAGTGGACGACTTCCCTGCAGATTTCTGCCAGCGGCTTTTTCGTTATTTCCAAAACGTGGAGCAAAACGGCTC